AGGGGGGGGGGCACACAGTACCCACTGCCCCCTTTCTGGCTAGAGGATCCCAGGTTGCTAAGATCTCTTTGGAAAACTGTAATGCTCTGGCTGTCATCCTACCCACCTCAATGATGTCACTGGTTGCCGGGAGCTGTCCCACTCAGCTGCTGGCAACCAGTGGCGTCAGTAAGCTGGGCAAGTGCCAGCCAGAGTGTCACAGGTTTCTAAGAGCTCTTAGCAATCTGGGATCTTCTTGCCAGAAAGGAGGCAACAGATACTCCTGCCGCACCCCCAATGTGGCCCAATGAGATGCCGCCTGAGGAAACCATCTTAGGCTGCTTCATTATGGGGACAGCCCTGGCTGCTGGGCATTATAAATTATCTTCTCCCTGTTCCAGCCTGCGACCACAGCATCTGAGCCCAAAAAGGATTCCATCACATCACACTATATAAAATGGGCATGTGCTTTGCATTAGTCTCAACATTTTCTGAACCTGGATGCCTCATAAAAAGATTAACATGGTTATTCACAAAAAGGTGAAGAGTTTGGAGAAGGCAGGAGAAGTGAATAATCTAGGACAACATATCTGAACTGGTAAGGGAGCTGAATTGCAGAATTTTTCCAAATCAGCTATTTGTCCTAGATTGTTCACTTTTCCTGCCTTCTCCAAACTCTTCACCTTTTTGTGAATAACCCTGTAAATCTTCCTAAGGTGCACCGGAGCCACTTTAACGGGAACTTGGTACTACTATATGCAGATCCATTGTTTTAGGCGCGAATCTTTTGGTGGCAATAAGTTGGCTCTATAAGTTTATTTGTTGCTACTCTACATGAAAGCATTTGTAAACTCAAAGACAAAAGTGTAATAGATTGTAGATTACCAATCTTTAAATTGTGTGGCTGCATTAGGTTTTTTTCAGGCTTTTTTCCTTTAATTTTGATCTGATGACTCTTCAAGTAACACACTTCCTGTCCCTGTGCTCACTCTTTTACTGTGTCTGTGCAGGGAGCCATCGTAACTAGACATGTAAATTTTGTTTCATGGATATTCTTTTTTTTCAATTTGTTTATTAACTGACATATCCGACAGTACAAAGTTATAGCAACGAGCATTGATACATATGTTACAAACAACAACATGTGAACACATTGGGGTCCGGCATTGTACAGAGAAATTCCACTGTCAGTGGCAAACAGATCAAAGACCATTTGTATAACAACAGTCAAAACATTCCAACTGTGATGTCTAACAGCCTCTGGCGTGTGTGTAGTTTGAGAGAAACATAAAACTAATCTACAATCTAGCCGGCTGTGGTATGTGTCAGTATTAACAATATATAACCTCTGGGGGAGCATCACGAGCCCCTTAGAACCATTATTGTGAAGCCATTCTAGTAGGAGCACACACTCAGCTTCTCCCTAGACAAGGTAGCAGGCGCAAGTAGCAAATGAGTGAAGAGGGAGAACAGAAAAAGCAACAGAGGACCAGTGTCCTAGAGCATAAGGGAAGAAATAGAGGAAGAATAGAGTCCCGAATCGCCTCCCTGCGCTCCCTTCTTAGGGGGTCTAACCTCATCCGACCTCTAGGTGGTGGGGCCCTTAGCTGAATGGAGCCTTTCAGAAGGCGCGTCCCAGGCAGGCACGGCCAAAGGGTTCAGTGCCTCAGGGTCCCCCTGCCAGGAGATCCGCAAATTTAGTTGAGTGTTGGAAGTAAATCCAGGGTCCCCAGGTTGTCAAGAGTCTCCCTTCAGTGTTCCTAAAGGGAGAAATATCAACAGGGCCTGGAACAGATATAGGACCCGGGGCAAAACGTTCATTTTGATGGCCGCACATCTCCCAAACCAGGAAATAGTATGAGCTGACCAGAACCGTATATCTCTTAGTATTGCCGCCATCAGGGGCGCAAAGTTAGTCGCATAAAGGTGTTGAATGTCTGCGGTAATGTGTGTCCCCAAGTATTTAAGTTGGTCCTGGGCCCAAGTGAAGGGAAAGTCAGCACGTAAACAGGTGAGGGTATCGGTCGTTAGGGTGATGTTTAGGGCGGCTGATTTGGAAAAGTTCACCTTAAAGTCCAACAATCTGCCATAGGTGGCTAACTCAGAGATCAGATGGGGCGTGGACACGAGAGGGTCGGTGAGGAAGAAAATTAGGTCATCTGCATATGCAGCAACCTTCTGTTCTCCCGCTGGGGAGAGTAGCCCCGGGATGTCTTGTGATGCCCTAATGGTGCCCAGAAAGGGTTCTAGGGAAAGGGCAAAAATCAAGGGCGAGAGTGGGCATCCCTGTCGAGTACCATTGGACAGGGGAAAGTCCGTCGATCTCGTTTCATTTACCCTCACCGCAGCAGACGGTGAAGAGTATAGAGCCGAGATCCATTTGATCATATTAGCTCCCAAGCCAATGTGTCGCAAGACCGCCATCATGAATCCCCAGTTGACAATGTCGAATGCTTTCTCGGCGTCCGTGGAAAGCAGGAGAAGAGGTTGGTGGCTAGTTTTAGCTATGTGGATGACATTGAGGACCCGGGTGGTGTTGTCCCTAGCCTCTCTGGAGGGGATAAACCCAACCTGATCTGGGTGAATGAGTAACGGCATGAACGGAAGTAACCTATTGGCAATGATTTTAGAAAATAATTTAAGGTCCACGTTCAACAGAGCAATGGGCCTATAGTTACTGCACTGCGATGGGTCTTTGTCTTCCTTCGGTATCAGAGTAATCCACCCTTGAAGCGTGTCTCTAGGCAAGGGGTGATTCCGAATTGTAGGCCGAGAGGAAGTGGGTGGATAGCTGGGGCAAAAATGACTTGTAATAGGCCACCGTGAGGCCATCCAGACCCGGCGCCTTGCCAGTCCCCGATGATCTCAGAGCGGACTCCAGTTCTGCCTCAGTAATTTCAGACTCTAGTGCCTCCCTGTCTTCCCCGGGTATAGTGGGCATGTTGGAGTTGGTGATATAGGCCCGTGGGTCGGGGGCCGATAGTTGCGCGTCCCCCCCGCCTGCGTGGGGTGTAAATTGTACAGGGCTTCATAGTAGGACCTAAACTCCTCAGCCATGTCACCGGAGGACGACACTGTACTGCCAGATCGTGTTTTAATCTGAGCAATGAAGGATTTAGCCCTATTACCTCTCAAAGCTCGTGCTAGGAGTTTCCCGGGCTTGTTTGAAAATTCATACATCGTTCTCCTGCCCCCCAACAGACGCCGTTTGACCTTAGTGAACAGCAAATCATTAAGCTCTTCCCTGACAAGACGCAGCTCCACCTGGGTGTGGAGAGCCAACGATCGCTTATGTGCCGATTCTAATGCGTGTAAGCGTTCAAACAGGTGAGCCACTTGTTTACCCCCCTCCCGTTTCCTGCGGGCTCCGTGTTTCAACAGGAATGCCCCGAATGACACATTTATGAGCCTCCCATGCGGTCAGGGGAGACGTAACGGAAGAGGCGTTTATTTCAAAAAAGGAGGGTATCGCGGATTCAACATCAGATTTATTCTGAGGGTCCTGCAAGAGCGATTCATTCAATCGCCACATGAAGCATGGGGAGGGGGACGCCGTCAGAGCTAAGGACATGTGTAACGGGGCATGATCTGAAAGCAGGATGTTGCCAATTGAGGCCGAACACACCCGTGAGAGCTCTTTGTGGGCTACAAAAAAATAGTCTAACCTGGAATAAGTGTGATGGACCTGTGAAAAAAAGGTGTAGTCCCTGTCTCGTGGGTGTAAAAACCGCCAAGTGTCCGTCAGGTGTAGAAGGTGGAGTTCTGCCTTTAATTGTTTCAGGTAGGAAAAGGCTAAGTGGGAAGTACCCCGGGAGACATCTAGTAAAGGATCCAAAGCCACATTAAAATCGCCCCCTAGGACCAGAATGCCATCCGCAAATTCCAACAGGACCTGAACCAGAGTGCGAAGGAATCCCAGTTGATCTGAGTTTGGGGCATAGACATTGGCCAGTGTCACTGTAACGCCACCTATCGTCCCCTTCAGGAGAAGAAATCTACCATTAGTGTCTACATATTGGTCGGTGTAGAGCCATGGAACAGACTTGGCCAAAAGGACAGAGACTCCCTTAGATTTTGAGATGGGGGAGGGGCAGTGATATACAACTGGGAAATCCCGGTTGTGCAACCTGGGGACCTGGTCCTTCCTGAAATGGGTTTCCTGCAGGAACACTATCTGAGAACCAAATTTTTTCAGATCTGTCAGCAATCTAGATCGTTTTTCAGGAACGTTCAGCCCCCGCACGTTCAGTGAGGTGAACATCATCGCTGCCATCGTCCCTAGCTGGGAGCGGGAGACGGTTCAGTAGGGGAAAGTACAGGAAGTTGAAGTTGAAGAAAGAGGATAGATATAGCAGGGAGAAGCCAGAGGGTGAGTACTCTATAATAACTAGAGGTTGTGGGCCCCTACCCAGAGAGTTGGTATCCGTAAGCTACCGAGTATACACCAATGGGTGTATGTATCCTGTCCAGACTACTGGTACAGGCAAGACAATTGTAGCAACCCTTTGCACAAAGCACGGAGTAACCCTATGTGGGGGTGGTAGCTATAACCGTTGATGTAACAATATTTATGGAATTAACTATATAGCATCAAAGGTGGAGATGCACTGCCCGCTCCCGGCGGCGGGACGGCACAGGACGCTGCCCTATGATCCGTTCCACTCGGTTCCACAGGCGAAGCTATCTGACTGTTGGACTGGGGTAGGACTCCCCGGGGGAGTCACTCTGTCCAAGGGTCTCTGTCCCATGCCGGCCAAACCTCCGAATAACAAGCGTCTCTCCCTCATGTACAACAGCGTATAACATGGTACAAGAACAGGAGCACTATATTATGATGGGAGCGGACGGGGACCCCATCATACATAACTACCAATAAAACAAAACAAACAATCCAAAAATGGGGGAGCGGGGAGGGAGAAGGGAACTTTGCAAGCAACTACTATAACCTGCATCCTGTATACCGCCATCTCCACACGGACATCCTTGTCTGGCAGGCGGAGGTCGGTTGGATCCACTGTAGGGGCGATGTCAGGAACACAGAGCCCGGCCCCGGCCTAGCTCGGGACCACCGTCCACTGGGCTGTCGACCCCCAAACAACAAAGGGTGAGTTCCTGTGACAAATAAATAACTGTGGATCGTCTATGGCTCCCGCCTTCACGCTTCATGGCTGATAGGTGCTGGCACCGAAGATGAACGAAGTGGGTAGCGGCGTCTTCCTCTGGGAGGGCGAGCTTGCCTTTGGGCTCTAGGCGCGGTATCTGCCGGGCCTGTAGGGAAATCCAGCCAGTTCGGAAGATCGACGGGCGCCTCATCTAACCACTGGAACAGATCAGGCAGTTGACAAGGTGTGTGGAGGGCAAAAGAGTGATAGCGATGGTGAATGATGAGGTGAAACGGATGGCCCCAACGGTAAGAAGCTACTGCAGCCCGTATAACATCCAGCAGGGGTTTTAATAACCTGCGCATTCGCAGCGTGTGTCGCGACAAGTCAGGCATCACTTGTATCGAGGCACCATCAAAATCTAGCGGGCCGTTGTTCCAAGCCTTCCGCATGATCTCTTCCTTGACTGTGAAGAAGTGGACCCTGCACAGCACATCCCTGGGTGTGTTAGAGTCCGGTGTGTGAAACGATTGTACCCGATGCACGCGGTCAAGTTCGATGGGGTCACCAGGAGGCTTGCCTAGGTACATATTAAGTATAGCTGTAACTGTGGATCGCAGTTCAGGGCCTGATGTTGCCTCTGGAATGCCTTTCAACCTGATATTGTTACGGCGACTGCGATTCTCTGCGTCATCCTGATTCAGAAGTAAGGTGGTCAATTTTTGCTGCGTGGCCGCATTTGCAGCTTCCATCGCTGACACCCTGGAGTGGAGATCATCTGTAACAGTTTCTACAGAAGTCACTTTGCTGTCTAATGCCTCCACTTGCTGTTTGATTTCATGGACTTCTGTCCTCAATGCCTGCACTATTTTGGCAGCCATATCGTCCAGGTCTGCCTTAGTGGAGAGTTTAGGGTGGAGGGATCGCCACGTGTAGTCACTGTCTGCCTCATCATTGTGACCTGTTGCAGTGCGACCCGGGCTCTGGGTAGCGTCCTTAGGTGGCGGATCAGGTGTTAGGATCGGAGAGATCTCTCGATCCGACCGGGAGAATGCAGGGTTAGGGGCCGGCTTAGACTGCTCCTTTGGGGGAGGCTGACTCACCACCGAGTAACGGCCAAGCGCCATGTTGGATTCCGGCGCGGCCTGCGGCTGATTCGGCGGGTGCCCGAAGTAGTGGAGCAAATCCCGGGGAGGTAACGTTGGGGACGTGCAGCGGGACCGTTTGAGTTGTGACATGAGGGGGAGAGAGCCCCGTAAAGTCCGCTGAGACGTCCCGGGAGAAAAGGCTGTGCAGAGCTCCGGCAAGCTGCGGCCTCACTCCTCCATATCCAGACCACGCCCCCCTGTTTCATGGATATTCATCCAAATTTCATAAAATTCAGACAATCGGATGCATCTGAATTAGAATTTACGCATTTGAATGAATGCAAACAAATCCAAACGTTCCTTTAACACATATTCGGATCCGTCCGAATTTTGTTCAGAACTAAACTAAATAGGACATGTAACTGCCCAATCAGATGGTTTTTTTTGGCTGTGACTTCATTCTAAAATGAAAATTCAGATGAATCCAAAATCCGAATAACAAATCTAATCAGATTTCGGATCCAAAATGCAAAAAATTAAAGAAATAAAATAACAAATTGATCCGAAAGGAAAGAAAACAATTGTATTTGCGTGGTTGGATGTCTAATGGTAACCATCCAGACTGGGATTCAAAACTCCTGTCTTTGTTCATCTCTATTACATAGGGGAGGTGGGGTTAGTAGTTTGCAGAAAGAAATTTGCTTCCAGATTATCTCACAGAATGGACACGGCATTTCTGGCACAATCAAAGGATAATATTTGTTCATGCTAAAAATGTTCTTGCCTGAAAATGTTAAACTAATGCAGCCACCACATCTAAGGACTGGTTACCTGCAACATATTATATTTTTGGATATATATCAGTGTATTTATAATATTGTACTGTATATCTAAACCATGTACTAAGTTGTAGATTTGTTATGGCATGAAAATGTGCTGGTGTATAGTAAAGATTGAAAATCAGATACTCCATCTCCTATTTGATGGAGCAGGTGCTCAAGTAACCTGACATGTAGTAAAATAATGAAGGGGCTCTTTGGACCCCTTACTTGTTCACTTTTGCATTTTAAACACAATGCCTGAGCACAGTCTCCCTATTTTCCATGTCCATTCAGCAAGCAAGTAAACAATGTTTCTGAATCCCTATTATTTATATACAGTAATACCTTGGTTTACAAGTAACTTGGTTTGAGAGCGTTTTGCAAGACAAGCAAACATTTCTGAAAAATTTTGCCTTGATATACAAGCAAATGTCTTGCAATAAGAGCAAAATTTTGTAGAAAAGCGCCACCCGAATAAGGCTGTAGCTGTGTGAGCGATGAGTCTGTTTAACGACAACACAATGTCACATTGGATAGATTCCTTGTTAAGGTTTCACGAAATGAAAAAGATTCCATTGAGTCAAGAGATAGCAGTGATTCCGTTAGTGATAGTGAAAGTCGTCCTACACAATAATCCTTCTCTCTCTCGTCCCCCTCACACCAACCACAAAGGTATGGGTAATTGGTTTATTTGTCTTTATATTTTGTACAGTATTATATTACAGTACAGTATTGTAATCATTTGTATATGAATATTTTTGGGTTGTGGAACGAATCATCTGAATTTCCATTATTTCCTATGGGGAAGTTCGCTTTGATATACAAGCGCTTTGGATTACAAGCATGCTTCCGGAACGAATTATGCTCGTAAACCAAGGTATTACTGTATATAGGGTGCAAGGGATTATAGGAACATATTCCTCTGTGATGTCATTGACCTACTGCCATAGGTTGTGCTCTACTAATGATGTGTTTAAGTATTTCTTCGGCATAAACTCCAAAAACAACTGCGACAAGAAGGTGTATACTTACATACCTACCTAAGATCACTTAAGATAAGCCTGTACATGAAAGAGAGATGTGCTGGTGGATGAAGATCATGCTATTTGTTTAAGTGAATCATATTCCATCCGTACATCTAGCTAGTTGCTATTCTTTTTATTCTTAGGCATCTGTTTAGCCCACACAATTGTTTTGGTATCTTTATTCCCTCAAGTCTAGCTGCATAAACTAGTTGTAAAAATCTGTGTTTGAGATATGTCCCTTCTAACATTACATCAAATCTGGAAATTGAATTATAGTAATACAAAAGGGAACATCTGAAAAACATGGATAATTATTTATTTCTGCCTGATTGACTTTCCATCTTTTTATGCTCCCATAAATTTGTCTTTTATTATTGAGTTATCCTTTTTTTCCTGGTGAATCACTGGATACTTGCCACCCCCATTGGAAGGCTTTTTAAGTTTCTTACCATAGTCTGGCTCTGCTCTATCTCCTTTTTCTTTTTCTAGGATATTTTCTGTTAAAGAAAAGAAAATACCCGATGAGGTGTAGACATCCATTAGCTAGCTGTAACAAGCAGTTATTTATTTTACATCATGCCAAAACAACTCCTACCATACCAAGAAGCTTTAGCTAAACTTGAGTGTAATAGATATAATAAACTGAAAAGAATAGAAAATGCTCAAAGTATCAGGGCATAAAAAAAAAAAAAACACAAAAAATGTTTAAAGTCCACAACCCCCACATTCATGGGCAAACATGCGTCGGGTGCATCTAGGTGTGAAAACGACAATTGCTTCCATTACGCCGCACATGTTTCATATCATTGCAATTGTCAGAGTGTGATATAATAATAATGAATACTTTTAAGGCCATCAATCACTGTTAACAATAAATTGATGAGCAGCAAAAGCTTTTAAAGCGTCATCTATGGCCAATTTTGGGTGTGGTATTTTTTTGTTGATTTTGCGGGTGTGCGCAGTTTTAAGGACTGTCCATGATAGAAGTCGCCAGCACTCGATGATATGTGCAATAAGCAAAGCACTTTTTATAAAATTGTCACATGCGTCATACAGCCTGTTATGATTTTAAGGACTGACATGTTTGCTGTCTATTTAACTGATGTGACCCCATCTTTACATTTTACCAAAAATTGGGTAATAACTGTTTTATAACATAATAAAGGGAAAACATTTTTTTATTTTAATTTTCGGTACCTTTTAATTATATAGTTAAAAAATGTAAATCCCAGTGGTGATTAAATACCACCAAAAGAAAACTCTATGTGTGCCCACAAAAATGCCCACAAACCTCAATAAACGAGGAAGGACTGTAAAGAAGAGAGGGCCAAAATTCCACTGCAACAATGTCAGAGACTAGTAGATTCATACAAAAAATGATGACTTCAATTATTGCCGCAAAAGGCGGTTCTACAAGCTATTGAATCTAAAGGTGTACTTAGTTTTTCACACCTGGCTTCTCTATTTTTGGCGTTATGCTTGTAATATAAATAACAACACGGTGTAATATCATGTGTTGTTGTTCATCTGAGGTTGTATTTACCTAATTGTAAGACCTGCTAAGGACCAGGTGATATTTATTATGCCCTGATATATAAAACCATAGAATTCAAGGAGAGTGTACTTTCCTTTTCATATGATTGGATAGATAGATAGATAGATAGATAGATAGATAGATAGATAGATAGATAGATAGATAGATAGATAGATAGATAGATAGATAGATAGATAGATAGATAGATAGATAGATAGATATTGGGTGAGAGATAGCACCACCCACACCCTCTTACATAACAGAATTTAGTGGCCATGTGTGTTGTAGAAAGAGAGTTCCATGTTTACTGAGCTACTAGAAAACGTGTGCCCATTTGCTGTGTTGTATGTTACATAGATTAAATACTGCACACCAGTCCATTCTGAATTTGGAAATGAATGGAGATTTGCACATTTTGGAAATGAATGGAGTTTCTCAAACGAAAACCACATCAACTGTCAGAATTTCAATCAAGAACAATTTTCCACCTTGCTCCTCTGATTTTGTTAACCTCTATGGTCGATTTGACCCCATTAAAGATTCGAAAATTGAACAAATAATTCATAAACAATTTATTTCAAACAAAATTCTACTGGTGGGAAATAATAGGGTTTCTGGAGGGGTGTAATTGACCATCCAAGAGAGATATTACTAAAAATATATATCAAATTTTATTTTGTGATTTGCATAAAATTAAAAATTAAATGCATTTAGTCAAAACCCTGCATGGGATTTGTTTGTACAAATTTAGTCACTTGTATAGTACATACATATTGATACAATCCAGGTGTTCAAAATGACATGATATTGATCACAGAATAAACAATAATATAATAGCCCCTATCATGGCTTAGCTTAAAAGGTCCCGACGAAATTCACCAGTGGCTTCATCAGGGGACCCAACGTGGATCTGACAATGAAGAAATGACTTTGTTTAGACATACATTAGGTTAGAATCACAGACATCTATAATTAGGCAATAGCAGGTTTATATAGGTGGTCTATTTTGAACAGATTGTAGTAATACAGTTGATCGCCATTGGTTCTGGTCATTGAATACTCACCATTCAGGGTTAGTTTGCGAAGTAAGGGAGACACTTGGAGGATCGGGAGAGCGGAATCAAGATGACCCCACCGCCACCTAAACGATCTCTTTTATTGTCACACCTGGGACCTCAGGGTTACACAAAGAAAGATGGCATCCAATCGTCCAGCCGACTTCACTAGGATGCTTTATCCAAGGTGAGATATGTTGGGAGGAGGCCCGGCTGTATAGTAATATAATCCTATTGTTTAATTTCCACTGGTCACTTTTCTTTGCATACTTTTGGTTTTGGTTTTATTTTTGGTGTTTTGGTACACACATTTTATTTTTATCACTTTTCTCTTCCCTTTCTTATTTCATTATTTCATTATGTGTTTCCCTTTTTCTCTTTTTCCTTTCCCTTCTCTTGGCATGGAAACTCTGATTTATAGAGAAGCCATGAAAGCATATATACACAATGCTAATTTAGACATAGACTATCTTCATCCTAGCGATGACCTCATATAACCCAGGAAATGGCTGTTATGAATAATTAAAATAAATCGAATACACACACACTGGACACCATGGCTAGACACAGACGATGGGACCCAGACTAGGAGTTTGGCAGAACAATTGAGGACAACCATTATATACTGTAGCAGGTCATCATGTAGAGAGCAAGGAGAGGTCCTGTCCGGGGTTTATGTGTCACCCAGATTCCTCTCTTACACCTTCCGGAACCTATAGTAAGCCCCAGGTTTTACGCTTTGCCTCAGTGGCAATTTAGTGCAGGTGAGGCAAACAGACAGAGCTCTGGAGCCTGGGGAGCAGACAGTCTCTATCTGCTGGAGCACAAGGTTGGTCAATGGGTTTTGCTGAAGCCTGACAAACAATAGGTTTGTACAGGTTGGTAGTCAGGACTATCGTATGTTTAGTTAGTGCCGGGACACGGCTAGGATTTTGTTTTTGAAGTATTTACTTTCTTTGAGCACTGTATATAGCCTGTGTGTTGCACCAATAAATGTAACACTGTTTGAAGACAAGTCACTGGTCTGGTCTCTAAACCTTGCAAGATTGCTCACCCCAGGGAGCAATTGTACCCGCTACCTATTCCCCAGCTCACAATATATATGCCACTCCCTCTATCCAACAGGCAAATACAATAGGATTATATTACTATACAGCCGGGCCTCCTCCCAACATATCTCACCTTGGATAAAGCATCCTAGTGAAGGCGGCTGGACGATTGGTTGCCATCTCTCTTTGTGTAACCCTGAGGTCCCAGGTGTGACAATAAAGGAGATCGTTTAGGTGGCGGTGGGGTCATCTTGATTCCGCTCTCCCGATCCTCCCAAGTGTCTCCCTTACTTCGCAAACTAACCCTGCATTGTGAGTATTCAATGACCAGATCCATGGCGATCAACTGTATGCAACAATCTGTTCAAAATAGACCACCTATATAAACCTGGTATTGCCTAATTATAGATGTCTGTGATTCTAACCCAATGTATGTCTAAACAAAGTCATTTCTTCATTGTCAGATACACTTTGGGTCCCCTGATGAAGCCACTGGTGAAACGCGTCGGGACCTTTTAAGATAAGCCATGATAGGGGCTATTATATTATTGTTTATTCTGTGATCAATATCATGTCATTTTGAACACCTGGATTGTATCAATATGTATGTACTATACAAGTGACTAAATTTGTACAAACAAATCCAATGCAGGGTTTTGACTAAATGCATTTGATTTTTAATTTTATACAAATCACAAAATAAAATTTGATATATATTTTTAGTAATATCTCTCTTGGATGGTCAATTACACCCCTCCAGAAATCCTATTATTTTCTACTTTTTCCCTAAGTGCACCTACCATAGGGCGAGGTGTTAATTTGCCGCCCACAGGGAGGCAACCCACGCTCTATAAAATTGAAAATTCTACTGGTGTATAGTTTTGCATTGTATAAAGAAATCTCTCGTTTTTGGTTGGTCTTGTCTTTTTTTTTGTACACGTGGAGCGAACACGTAAACAATATTTATGCTCTTTTTGGACAAGATGCTACTTTATCCCTGCCCTCCCAGGCAGAACAGTCTTGCTCTATCTGTAGATTCTGTTGAAATTGACTTATCCACACTGACATTGATTGCAGCAAGAGATACATATATATGGTCTTTTGATGTTAATCTTATTTCTTTATAGACGTTAACCAGAAGATATCTTCATCAAGCTGCAAGGCTGGTTCTTTTTACTGTCTATGCTGCTCTAAAGTGAGGCTGTGTTCCAAGAGATCAAAGGGAAACATTGGAGAGAGGGCTAAAGCAGGCAATGTCTGTTATCACATATTTGGATCCAAGTCACAAGTACATCAGCCAGTAAAGATTTTTTATTAAAACAGGCAATGTGATATGAAGCTGAACTGAATAGGTATCTATGGCAGCAGCTTCTGGAAACAGTCAATCTTAGCATGGCTGGTTTGACATGGGGGCTCAGGCTTCACTCTCAGCTCTCCCCATGAGGTTAATATACTCAGGCTATAAGTCACTTAACAGTTTTTTTCACAAGTAGGAAGGAAATAATTATCTCTTTTTTTTCTTTTAGAAAACCTATTTGAGAATAGGCTGCAAATTATTATATTCTACTTACCTGGTGGATATTTGCATATAAAATTGTGCTTCATGTTGCACCGGTCATCATTCCACTGGTACATGTATGGTCCTCCTATTCCAGGATTAGCAGTTGGTTGATGATACATGACCACACACCCTTCACTGCCACATGATGGTTCATCTGCATACCAGTTCCTATCAAAGCACATACATGGGTTATTATCCTTGGGTTTAACAAAGAGCAATACTCAAAGTATAATAACCTATACCAGCTAATCTGCAATCATCTGGCATTATGCTGGCATCTCTACATTTAAAAAATGTGACATCTTTTTGTTTGTACGTAGGACTCAATCTTGTCTTACTAAAAAAAATACATATGTGTTTTTCAACCATTTGATGACAGCAATACACCATTGTATGGACACACACAATGCCCCATGCCATGAGAATGTTAATGTTGCAGTACTAAGAACTAAGAATGCACTACTGTGTGTGGTTCTAGATGTAGAGATTAGAGATGAGCCTGGGCTTGGTGGAAACCCAGTTCACATGAGTTTGCCCAAGCCCGCTCAAAACTATGACCATCACACCCCCCTGCTGGGCCAAATCAGTGATTGGCAGATATAAATGACAAAGAGGCAGAGAATGCATCTTTCTGCAATTGATTGGTCTGGGGGTTGGTAGTCACAGTTTCAAGTGGGCTTGAGCAAACTCAGGCAAACTGGGTTCACACCAAGGCTAGGCTCATTACTAGCAGAGATGTGTTTCTGAGCGCTTGCTTAAACGTGCACTTAATTTTTCGGTTTTACTGTAGTGCGCTGATTTCTCCAGTAGGATGTACTCAGTGGCTGTCTACGATGTTTCATCTGCCAGACTCTTAAAGTTCAGAGGGCTGTGTCAGGGATACATCATGGTTAGCCTTGGTGCTTGTTGGTTAGCCAATCACTGATGAGATTGTTGTCAGTGGTTTTGGGTCTAGCCGTAGCAAAACCCCTGATTATGCTGCTGGAATTTCAGTCTGTTGCCTGCAGGTTGTTACCTGTATGTTGTTACCTGTTATTGGATGCTGGGCTCCTGCCCAGACATAAGGGCACTGGCCCTCTGGGCCTTCCATGTGTACCTGCTTGCTACTGGATTCTGCTTATTATCTTCGAAGGACCCCACCCATGATTATTTAGCTACTATCGGGTATTTACTAGGAACACTGGAGCACCACATGAACATCCACTAGCCTACCTGCCTAATTCAAGATGATGCAGTAGTTTAAGGAGATAGTGCTGGAGACAATTGAGTAACACCTGAATCTCCACTGGTCCAGAGTTGCAGTCATATTAGGCACAGAGAAAACAAAGGAATCTCTGTTGTAATGGATGCTGCTTCTGCCTGCTGGTTGAGGGTGAAGTCTGAGCTCCATGCAGAGACTGTCAGGTTTTGAAGAAGATGTACTACTGTTGGGTATTTTCGCCCTCCCTACTCTTGTTTTGCTGTTTGAAAAAAAAACTTTTAAAGACATTCAAGGACTTGCAAGATGTACAAAAATGTGAGTACTATGTCTGGAGACAAGGTATTATCAATTGGGTGAACCAATTAAACTGCACAAAGCTCAACTGGGTCATCACCCAGCCTGGGCTTAGAGTATAATAGCACATGTAATTATGTGAACACCATTAGGACCTTCCCCTTGCATAGTAGAAAGACCCATGACCTCATGAGACCAACCAGAAGACTCTTGCAAATAAAGTATGTATATTTATATATACTGTTGGGAGGGATGGCTTTTCTTAAAAAATATACTTCTGTTTTAAGCATTTGGATACATTAGTGTTAAGATCATTATCAATCTCCCCTCCCCCAAAGCCAATCAAATGCTATTTGTTTGCAAGGGAAACTATATTCTTTATAATTTTTAAAAATGCATGACACAGTGTTCAACTTAGCAAAAACTTGTATCTTATCAATGTGTGTTAATGTATGTTCTGCATACAGCTTATTATCTATATGCATGGGATATGTATTTTTGATCTTCATATCTCACTAGTCATGGGAAATAATAAGCTCTCTGCCGATGTGATTGGTAGCCAGAAACCATGTGATCTAGGTTGTCTAATCTGGAACCTACAGAACAGCATTTTTTTTCTTATAACACAGAATAGTAATGTGATTTGGTAACACTGATATGTCATCTATTAATTGATGTAAAGTGTGAATTTTAATGATAGGTCCACTTAAAGATTCATCCTGCAAACATAAGGTCTGTTAACTAGATAAAGACTTGCAGTATTACATACATTAATTATACAGAAAAATCAATATACACTTTACAGTAACTTTATATTGATGTTCATGTTACCATTTAGCAAACTCATAAAATTAACAATATAATCCTTAGATTTGTTTTAATTTTTTATAATTTCCCAGACCAGCTTGGTAATAACTTTACTAAAATGAAAAATTAACTTTTGTGAGATAATGCTAAAAATAGAAAGGTGTGTTAAGCATTATCTCAGAATGAGTCAACTTAATTGGTTTTTGAGAGCATCCAGAGACATTCAATGAAATTGTTATTCTATTAACATTTTATAATAAACCAAATTGAGTTATTGTCTTATGCTAAGTTCATTTGGAGATTATTAGGATCACTAATAATTATACCTGAACAGTGCAGTGCTCCCATCGGCCCACATGTAAAGGTCTGGACAGGCTCCTGAAGTTGCCATGGATTGCAAGTTCCTTGACAGGCCGATCCAGAAGTCCCCGTCTGACTTTCCAGACCCTGAGTTTGTCAGATTTTGCAACATTCTCTCGATGAGTTTTTGCTCAGCTTCACTTTCAATGCTTAAAAGATGACCTCCTTCTCCACTACAGACCTGATGAGCATGATGGTAACCAACTCGTGCAGTTAAGTCTTGAAAGTAAGCAATTTTATAACAAGGATGCTTGTAGCCTGCATAGCAAATCTTCCGGCCTGTAATAAAAGTAAACAAGTGTAAGGATGAGAGCGCTTGGAAAGTATTAAATGTAATTGCTTTATAATGACCATCGAGATGCTGTGAAAAAATAGATCAATATATCAAAGGCTAAAGCTTCCAAAATAAACATTATTTCAATTTTGTATGATGTAGTTCCATGGTCGGAGCCCCCACCAGCACCATCACCAAAGAAAAACAAAGCAAGATCTTACTCCCCTTTCTATATTCTCTGTAACACAAAATAGACAATCCAGAAGTTAAAATGACATTCCTTGTAATGACTGAGGCAAATGAGTGGAGTTGGGAATCCTGATGCTGTTTATAATGATCTGAGCGAAATGGCAAAAGCATAGAAGCCTACAAGCAATATAAAACCTGCAGATGGTAAAGTCACAAACAAAAATTACAACCACCTAGAAAAAGAATTTACTAATGGAACGCTGGCAAAATCTATGATCCCCAAATGCTGGGAACCGATAAAGTATCTTAAAAAAATTAATGGAAGGAACATCTAAAGCTGGCCATACAGCTATAGATTTTCTGCAGATTTTCTGTGGTCAGATGGAAAAAGTGCAAGCTTTAGTATCTTGCTATATAGATATATGTAACTCCAAATGGAAAACTATTTCCTCTAATCCATCACCCTCTAATCTCATTTACTTTTCTAACTTCTGGAACTACTATATTGTTTACCACAATGTTAATTCTTGCATCAAACATTTCTATACCTGTTATATACTTTCTGTGAATTATTTAATACAATGATCATGAAAATTTTTTTACTATAGAGAAATCAGATTTGTAAGTCATGTTGCATCAAAACTGCATTAGTATGACTGTCATTGAATGACCCTACTGCTGAACTCCAGGCAGATATACAAGCATCCTAAATCTAGCCATACAATGTGAGAATTTCAGCCACTTCTTGATGAACTGCCTGAAATTTGCTCAGTGGGTGGCCCTGTTGGCAGCTTTCTGTCCAGCATTCTTCCATCAGAAAATTGAAGTTACCAGGTGAACAGTGATTGCATCTAATTGGCTGCCATCACTGTTTAGGTATTCTGGCAGCGGCACACCCATCACTATCCGAATACAATAGCCCTGCAGGAGATTCGACCATTCATGCTGTTTAATGTGGATGGAGCAATCTGTTATATAATTTTTTCGTTTAGTCAGCACTTTGGCAAGTTTTATGAGGAGAGTAGAGTGATAATCTTAACAGTATACAGCTGATGCTTAATTATCCAGTAATTGGTTGGGATGGGTCCTAGACTAGATGGTATTGCTCAGTTGCAGTGTAAGTAAATCATAGAGTGAAAAATATGCTGTGCTATATGGTTGAGGGTCTGGAGCACAAATATAGAAGAGCAGCTAAGACAGTTCCTGTACTGTATATGTATTTTACCTGTATATTTGTTTTTTTATTTCCTCACTTAACGAGTTCCGTTCCTACGACCAGGTCGTTAAACTAATTGGTCGTTAAGCGAGGAACTGTATACAGTACTGTACTGCATTAGTACAGTACTGTATAGTGTTGCAGATGTACAGTACTGTACAGTGTACTGTAATTCGGTCAATAAAGTACTTACCGAGACCCTCAGTGGAGAACGAAGTGCAGCACTACCGCTGGCGACAGTGGCGAGACGTCGCACTACCGCTGCAACATTCCCGCACATAAGGTCGGAGAGCTGGTCGTAAGTGCAAGTGGTCGCAAAGCAAGTAAGTGAGGAATATCTGTATTTATTACAGGTATTTATACCGCACCGACAAGTTACACAGTGCTTCACATGCCTTTGTGGAGCTTATAATCTAAAGACCCTATCTCACGTGCATACATACGAGGGCCAATTTAGACAGGAGCAAATTAACCTACCAGCACATCTTTGGAGTTTGGGAGGAAACAAGAGTACCTGGAGGAAACCCACGCAAGCGTAGGGAGAACATGCAAACTCCTTGTAGATAGTGTCCTGGCCAGGATTCGAATCATGGACCCTAGAGTTCATCTTTAAATAGGACCCTGCCTGGTTCTGTAGCCTATGTAAACTAGCACGATGAAAACATTCCCCAACTTCTACAATTAAAAGTTAGTAACCACAAAATGGAGGAAAGGAAAGCCCATTGTTTTATAACTCAATTCCTTTCTTTATTCATGGCATTTATTCAATAATGGGATAATTGTGGAAAATATATGCATTTGTAGACCAGATTGAACTTGACAAGAGGCAGTTTCCCTTAGCCCCTGCCAATAGACACAGAAGGATAGGCAGACATAATCGACTAATGCATGAAAACTGGTGCAAAGAAGATATTTCTCATAGCAACCAATAAGGCTTTATGTTACATTTACCTACTGCAAGCTACAGAATGAAAACAAAGCAATCATTTGTAGCTATGGAAAATAACCCTATATCTGTTATTTTCTTTTATTAGGTTAACCAACAGAATTCCACTATTTAAAGTCACAATATAAAAACAATATTGCCAGCTTTTCCTGAAGAAAACACAGTAACCACCACACAATGATGTCCTTCAGCTTTAGAAAACCAGCTAGCATACGCAACGCCAGTACATGAAATATTTCTTAAATCTATGTAATTCTTTGAAATCTTGATGAAAATGTGACATACATAATTCATGGGATGCTGTTTTACTGGATGCTGTTGTGAAGCTCAAGCTGCATGATATCTCTGATTCTCTGATAGTTTGTCTTCCATCTGACGAATATTCAATGCTTTGATACACTTTTTAAGAACATAAACCTAAACAACAAGAGATCTTAAATCTCACAAATATACTATACATGCTGAGACTCTACTCAGGACAGTCTATATGGATTTCATCCATGAGGAATTGAATATAACAGCTGTCAAAGATAATATATACTTGTGGGGAATTTTATGTCATGATTTTAAAAATAGCAATGTATTTTGTTCTTGTTATGTTTCCTATTACGCATGGAAACCAGGAAATAGGTGGTAATATGCATAAAAAATAAACTATTTGATATGGTAATAAGTAGAGTGCTGTAATAAGAGTCATGAGATTGCTACAAAATAAAAAGATTAGGGCATTGGTAGAAATCTACTGCTGATAACTTACTTTAATTGCTTACTTTAGGGCCAGTCTACCTAAAACAGTTTTTTTTAGCTCTTGGTAGATGCTAAAGAGTTAAACCACCTGACATATTCTTATATCTCTAGGGAATTTGATTAGTTGAATCTCTACACTTACATTTCTGTGTCTCTTACATGCCTTAGGCATCCTAAGGGATTCCCACTCTTTCTGATGAATTTTCTTAAAGAGCAACTCCGGTTAAAAGTTTCATTAACCCTTGCAGTTGGGCTACCCTTAGACAGCAAGGGTTTTTACCCAGGGTCAAAAATAACAAAGTTATACTCACCCGATTCTCCTAGCCAGCCGGCTGTGACAGCACTCCCTCCTGCCTGTCTCCTCCGCTGCAGCGATAGTATGCTCACATCCTATACATTGTATATACAGTAGAACATGATGATTTACAGGACCTTGGACCATTGAAGAGGAGGGGGAGTGAGGCTGGAAGGACTGTTCTAAAAGCACGGAGGATCGGGTGAATGTAACTTTTTTTATTTTTGACCTTAGGCAAAAATGAGTACAACCCTTGCAAGGGTAGCCTCACTGTAAATGTTAATAACATTTTTACTTGGAGTTCTGCTTTAATATATTCTAATGTAAATGTAAAAGAGGTGCTAGAAGACACCATGTTGGACGGGAACGCCCAGAATCTTGAGGTGACCAGATCAACTCTTTTCCAGTACACCATTTAGTTTGTTTAATTTTGTAGTGTAGTATAAGAAGGTGATCTGGTAACCTGGAGATTTTAGGTATTCTGGTCCACTTTTGTGTGTTTCAGAACCTCTTGTATGTGGTGAAGGTGGTGGTGGATGGAATCACAGTAAGCAGCGAAGGATCAGGTATCCAACCTGAAAATGAGCAGATAATAAGATACGTCAGCAAGATTTGCTTTTTGGGAGACTGTAGATTGGTAGTGTAAGCAGCAGGACAGGTAAGTATGAATTTGTTTTCTTTTTAGGCAGGGCCTTTTTTAAATAGTGACAGAGTTGCGTTAAGACCATCACATTTCATGTTTAGAAATGGAGACTTTGTCTAAACTAAGAACTGTCCATGCTCCAACACTGCAAATTAAAGAAAAAATCTCACTGTAGTCCATCTGCCAACCAACTTGTAATCCGTGAGTGTTTCCAGCCCGAGACTCCCTGCCTAGAAGCCACTCAATCTATTGCATTTCAGTTGGACTGCGGTGTGCGGCTTTTTTCTTTAAGTTGCTGTCTTGAAGCATGGACAGCTCCTAGCCTGTGCCCGGGTGCTGGAGGCTTGATGTTGGATGAAGCAATGATAACTCTCTGCATTTCTATACTAGATTAGGAACTGTTGGTAAGAACAAATCCTTTGAAAATAATATACAATAAAGTATGTAAGAAACTTTGGTGCAAAACATCAAGCTATTTAAAGTCTGAAACAGTAAAAAATAACAGTTCTATCTGGAAAAAAAAAAATCCTTAGTACACTATAATTACTTTAATAGACCAAGTATAATCAGATTTATTGCAAGCCCACCATGTAAGCCTTTTTAAAGCAAAATATAGAACTTCATGTTGAGGTACATTCTACAGAAGGGTAGTGGTCACTTTTGTCAGACCTATCAGAGAGATCATTAACTTTAATTACACTCCCCCTTACTTCTGTGTCTCATAGTTATTGACACCAGTGCCATAAAAACCCAACAGTGATGAATTGCTATTATGTTCCCTGGTAATGTGCCAGACTAATGGCTAAGATATAGTATTTCAAATCAAAGTTGTTATTAGCACTAATACACTGCTGGTTACAATGTTCTTTGAGCCATATAGCTTCCATTATGGGGCTGCATCATTCAAAGGTGTCATAATAATGTAAGCAAAAGGCATTTGAATTGTACAAATGATTTCAAAGAGTCTGT